ACAAATACATTCTTGAATCTTGAATATTCTCGCCTTTAAAGCTGCTCTTCTTTGGCCGTGTGTATTTTTCTGTCTTGGTTTTTTGAGACCAGTGCACTCTGGGACACTTTGACGGGCAGAAAAAAACCTTTTTGAACGTCTGTGGTGAGTACGACACATATTTGCTCTGTGACGGACAAAAGCGCAGCTGTATGGAGGCAGGAGAAAGACTTCAACTCTTCCTCCTCCTCCTCTTTCTCGCCAGCATCTCACTTTGCAGGAAAGTCATAAAGAGGAGTCCATCTATCTCTGTCTATCGCAGAACTCACAATAACAAGTTCCTCTCTCCAAACAGCCTCATGTGGGATCATTCAGCCCGTCATAAGTCGTTTTTAAACAAGATATCTGCTAAATTTTTCAAACAGCTGTGTGCGTTTCTGTTTGGGAATGATGACTGTCGAAGATATTCTACATTTCCACTCGATAGTACTTAGCGTAATTAGCAGCTACTCCACCTCTGCTGCTGTGACCTGAGTACTATCGCTAGCTACTTGTGTTTCTGCTGCTACTGGACATCTGCATTTCTCCCATGGGGGATCAATAAAGTCTCTCTCTCTCCCTTTCTCTCTCTGAGGCCAACAATCCACACGAAAACTAGTGATTCTGACCCTACCCTTGTGTATGAATTGCGCTTTACAAATAATCTTGCCTTGCCGTAGAACCAAACTCTTCTGAGAGTGAGGGATGAGATAGTTAGATGATTAAATAGTTTCAGTTTGCTTTGTGGACCATCTTGAAGGCGACTTTGGTTTTGATAGAATTTGCGAGGCCTTCTTTGCTTCTGTTTAGTATGCTTATTGGGTTGGCCCTGAGGACATGGAAATGAAAAGAGAAAAAAAAAAACACACGTCTTGGGACCCAGCCACTTCCAAATCCCATGACGCCGTCCAACCCACCGAGTTCAGTGCAAGTGAGAATGCCAACGTTTTGAAATCACCGAGAAATACCGCTCTGCCGCCTGCTTTTCCTGCTACATTTGTACAAAAACATTTTATGACATCCACGCTTTTTAATCTGACTTGTCTCTCCTGTCTTCTCCATACTTCCACTTCCTCTGCCGCAGAAACAAATGTGCCTTCATGGTTTTGGCTTGTAAGCAGTCACCATCTCTCTCTCTCTCTCTCTCAGCTGTTTTGCAGATAATGAGAAAAGCTCAGGATAGAAGCCACACACACAAAAAACGCAGAAAGACAAAGGATGAGAAATACCCATGTCTCGCTGAAAATCATTTAAGCAGGATTTGCGTGAACTCTGGGACAGCTTCTCCCCCGTTCCACACACACCTAATAAATTTTGATTAAGCCTGGTGCGAGTGGGGGGACGTTGGAGTGGCGGGAGTCCTAGCGCAGGATGTTGTCATTAGCGTTGGTGGGCGAGCGGCTTTGTCATGTTTTTGAGTGGCGCAAATTGAGTTATCCTCAGCGCAAAGTTTAATATTGAGTTTTGACTCTTTTTTTTGTGTGTGAGAGAAACCGCGAATGTGTTTTCATTACTGTGCCTCGATGGCCGCAGGGTCCCGGAGGTGGAGGGGAGAGAATGTAGGTATTATGGTGCGATGTTGGAATATTGCACGATGCCAGAAACACAATGGAAGTGAATTGAAGCTTTCGGGAATACGTGAATTTGTCGTTTGTTTTTTGGTTTTTGTCAAAGCTGTCAGATGTGCCAGGTACTGTAAATGCTGCATTTTTCTGGGGAACAAAAACTTCTTTATTTGCTCATCAACCAATCATTATCTGGACTCTATAGACAACACCATGTCATTGATGGAGCACTGCAAAACAATGAAAGAGTTGGGTGATTGATATGGAGTTGGGTGATATAGAGTAGGGTGATCTCGAGTTGGGTGATATAGAGTTGGGTGAGTCTTTGAGTACATTTTGATTGTCAAAGCAATTTCCTAGTCTGTGACCTCCTGTTACTTACGTGGCAATAAAACAAAAAAAAAAAACAAAAATGATTCTGATTAAAACTTTCCTCGGTGAACCTACACTTTTATTGATCTGTATATTAATATTCAAGTTTTATGGTTGTACTTTAAGGACTATAGGTGGAAAATAGCTGGTTCTAAAACTGGTGCAGCCTCTTTTTAAAGCAGATTCAGACTCAGAAAACGTTATTGATCCCAAAGGGCAATTCATCTGCAGCATAAACTCAAAGCAGAACACACAGACTCTTCACAAACACACACACACAGACTCTTCACAAACACACACACACAGACTCTTCACAAACACACACACACAGACTCTACACAAACACACACACAGACTCTTCACAAACACACACACACACACAGACTCTACACAAACACACACACAGACTCTTCACAAACACACACACACACACAGACTCTACACAAACACACACACAGACTCTTCACAAACACACACACACACAGACTCTACACAAACACACACACAGACTCTTCACAAACACACACACACACAGACTCTACACAAACACACACACAGACTCTTCACAAACACACACACACACAGACTCTTCACAAATACACACACACACAGACTCTACACAAACACACAGTGAGTCTCACGGTTCACACAATAAGATAAAAACAACAATGAACAACACAATTCCCAAAAGTCCAACACCTCGACCAGAGTTCAACAGTTTTGTGGCCGAGCGCACAAAAGAATTGGGAAAACGGTTTGTTTTTTGTGCTTTATCATAAAAACAAGGCCCTGAAGGCATCATTACAAAGTCAGCGATCAGAGGATGTTTGGGCTGAGCCAGAATACATTTTGCTTTGTTCAGCACCTGTTCCTCCCTCAGACAGTGAAGGTCTCTGCACATTGTTCTTAAATTAATAAATACATTGAACATATTTGAGACTTGCCAATGGGAGAAAGGGTCTTATTTCAAGAACTTTTTGTAATTGCCTCATTCCACCAGAGATTTGTTCTTATATTTGTCATCACTTTCACAGTGAGGAGGGTCTAAGGACAGTGGTGATGATCCAGGACGTTCAACATCCAACAACATTTATGACTCAAAACTGGTGTTAAATGCACATTGGTTGTCAGTCTCTTATGGACTAATGGCTCTATGTGTTAGCACTTTATTAGTGAGAGCTAATCTAAAGTGTTACATATCTGTTTTTCAAGACTGTGTCAAGACTTTTATTTGTGGCGTCATCACAGGACAAACAGAGCCTCCAGCAGAACTCGCAGTGCGCCGACCTTGAGTCACCAAATATTCTCCTCTCGCAAATAACATTGGTCATGTATTTGTGGAGTGGGATTGTGCAGCAGAATGAATGGCGCCCACTCGTGAGGGCGTTGGAGCTCCGGTGGAGGGTGTGAAGTGGACACTCTTTTCACCAGAGTGTTGGAGAACTGAGGCTTGGGGCAGCGCTCTCTGTGGCCGCTGCTGTCCTGCTGCGAGGGCACTGGTGGGCGGATCAATGTTTCACAACTCTTTAGAACTGTTGGACAAAAGGCGTTAATTGTGAGAATATTCTGTCGTTACAAAACCTGACCTGAGAGGTTTGTGTGTTGGTTTGAGGGATGTTGTTTGCGTCAGTACTGGATTCATCTACAGCCGGTCTCCAAGGGAACGGATCTCTGCTTCGCTAACGTTGATTGCTCTTTTGGATTTCATAATCGTAGAACACGCCTGGGACACGCCACCAGGGAAGTGTCCAGGGAAGCGTCCAGCAGGAACCTCTCAACGGATTTCTGAGCCACATTAGCTGACCCCACTTGACACAGAGGTGCAGCACTGCTAGGAATTTTAATAAACCTCCAACAAAAAATTAACAGCCTTTCCCATTTTTGAAACCATCGCCAACAATACTAATTGTCAATCTTACTACAATATAGTTAGTCTGGTCTTACCACACCATCATGCTCATTTCATTTGGTACTAAGGTCTGATTTTGCTCCATTGACTCCGTTAACAGGTGGGAGGGGTTAACTCCTTTTGCAGATTGAAACAATTGGATCTGAGTTTACTGTGACGTATGTAATGAGCCCGAGTGAGAGAGGCTTTTGGCATTTAGCCTAGCTTTAGCAGTTAGCCTAGCTTTAGCCATCTTTTTTACCACTGATAAAGCCCGTCGGGAGTAGAAACCACAACATCTTTGCAGCAATAACATTTGTTAAACATTCCTGTTGCTCCTGCTTCAATTTCTTGATATTTGGATTGAACCAGAACAGATTATCCGCCCAAAGTTCACCCAGCAAATTTGGTGCAAACTCTTGACGTCACCGACACCGACCTACAACACCCGCCTCCTCCGCTCTCTGATTGGTCGGACGGGATTCCACCGAGGAAACTGCAGCCACTAGGATCAGACCCAGACGTACATGTAGGAGATGATCATGGACCAGAGTTTACACATGGTAAGACCAGACGTACATGTAGGAAATGATCATGGACCAGAGTTTACACATGGTAAGACCAGACGTACATGTAGGAAATGATCATGGACCAGAGTTTACACATGGTAAGACCAGACGTACATGTAGGAAATGACCATGGACCAGAGTTTACACATGGTAAGACCAGACGTACATGTAGGAGATGATCATGGACCAGAGTTTACACATGGTAAGACCAGACGTACATGTAGGAGATGATTATGGACCAGAGTTTACACATGGTAAGACCAGGCTACAAAATCTTAATCACAATTTCATTCTTATTAGAGAAATCGTAATGATATTTTTGGGATAGTTCTGCCCAATCATATCAATGCTTTATTCCTATACAAACATTATGTCCCAACAGAAAGAGTCAAATAACAGTAAAAATAAAGTTTCATTTTCAAACGTTATTTCTACGTCACTCTTTTGGGTTTAGTAATAGTAGTATTAGTCATTCAAAAGACTTTCACCTGGTTGTACAGAAAGTTGTTCCCGTTAAAAGCATCACACACATGGTCAGCCGCTGTGTTTTTCTCTTTGACAGTCGTATTACAAGATGTATGTACAGCCCTATTTTAGGGTTGGAGGCATCCGCATGTTAAAGGAGGTGTCAGGGAGATGGAGCTGGGCGGAGGCTAAAGGCTCCGGGTGGATTTGCACCGCGGGTGATGGATGGTGGAGATAGTCCGGGTCCTGAACACAACAACACAGACTCTCTCGGTCAAACTGCACTGACACTGCTGCTCACCAAGGAAGTGTCGACCATAGCAGTCCGAGGAATGTCAGTGGGTTATTTGATAATTTAAACTATAAAATTTGACCAGATTTAACTTGTTTTAAAGGTCTATATGAGAAAGAAAGAACCGCCCTCTCCACTTTATGAATACACAAACTCTTCGGTCTTATTTGACGAGGACGTATCACCAGAATGATTGACAATTGTGAGAACCAATAGTCTTGATGATCCACCCGGATGTAGAAAAACCTCCTATATACCTTTTACTCATCTGTAAACTTTGGCGTGGCCTTTTGGGTGAGATCATCCTGATCATCTCTCTGGTCCCTCTCTTTGGTCTGGGTCTGTTCTCTCTCTGTTTTCTGTCTCTTGTCTCTCTGGTCTCTCTCTGGTCTCGCGCTCTGGTCTCGCTCTCTGGTCTTTCTCTGGTCTCTCTCTCCGGTCTCTCTTTCTGGTCTCTATCTTTTTTGTCTCTTTCTGGTCTCCCTCTGTTCTCTATCTGGTCTCTATCTTTGGTCTCTCTCTGGTGTCTCTCGGGTCTCTCTCTCTTTCTGGTCACTCTCTCTGGCCTCTCTCTCTGATCTCTATCTCTGGTTTCTCTCTCTGGTCTCTTTCTCTGGTCTCTCTCTCTGGTCTCTCTCTGGTCTCTCTCTCTGGTCTCTCTCTCTGGTCTCGCTCTGGTCTCTCTCTCTAGTCTCGCTCTGGTCTCTCTCTGGTCTGTCTCTGGTCTGGGGACAGGAGGGTCCTGGACAAACTAACATCTATGCTGGACCATGAATGTCGCCCCCTGCAGGACACTCTCTCTGCTCTGGAGAGCAGCTTTAGTGACAGACTAATTCACCCTCGCTGTGTGAAGGAGAGGTTCCGTATGTTTTTCCTTCCTGCTGCTGTCAGACTGTACAATAAGAACTGTCCAAAAAAGCTGGTCTAAAAACATGATCACCAAAAGGACGTCAAGCTTCATTCATATAATATTTAACGTCCTAAACCACAGCAAAAAGTGATAACACAGTAGTCTCAGATTAGGTCAAATATGTCTTCATTTGAGCACATTTTGACTTTCTTAAAACAATATTTGCCAATGGGACAAGTAAAATAATATTGAATTCAAAAGATACAAGAAAATAGAAAATAAAGCAACAGTTCTTGAAATAAGACTAAATGGTTGCATGTTTTAAGACAGAATGTTCTCAAATGAAGCTAAAAACATTCAACTCATTCAAGCATTCAATTCAAACTCATTCAAGCAAATATCACCTCATTTTATCATTTTTTGCAGTGGATCTCTCTCGTCACTCTCTCTGGTCTCTTTCTGGTATCTCTCTAGTCTCTCTCTCTGGTCTCTCTCGCTCTCTGTTCTCTCCCCCTGGTCTCTCTATCTCTCTGTTCTCTCTCTCTCTGGTCTCTCTCTAAATATTACCTCATATTTGATAATTTTTTGCGGTGGATCCATGTTATTACAGTTTTTTCCTGTTGCTTGAACACAGTTTGCAAAATTTCGCTCAAAGTCCCAAAACTCTACACACACGAGAAACTGACACAACACTGGGACATAAACCAGACACATCTGTGTCAAAATGAAACTCCTCTATCAAAACTCAAACTCTGCTCTCAAAACTCAAACTCTGCTCTCAAAATTAAACAATCATTCGTCAAAATGAAACTCTGAGGACAAAATGACACACACTTGCATCACGTGAACACACTTTCAGATTGAAAGCAACACACTACAGTACTTTATATAAAACACTGCAGTCATTTTCACTGTTTTTATTCTGTTTATCAGTTAGTTTTCTGTGAAGCTCAATGGAACTGTTTTTGTTCTCTGTAACACTGAAAGGTTACACATAATATAAACCCAATACAGTACAGTACTACAGTATACTTTACAGTACAGTACTACAGTATACTTTACAGTACAGTACTACAGTATACTTTATAGTGCAGTACTACAGTATACTTTACAGTACAGTACTACAGCATACTTTACAGTACAGTACTACAGTATACTTTACAGTACAGTACAATTGTGTCAATGCAGTAAAACAAAAAAACTCTAATGTAAAACTAAGCAGTTGTGCGTATGTGGATTATGGATCATGGTTCATGGTCTAACTATTTCCACGAAGGCAAGTTCATGTTGTTGGTGAACAGTTGCCGACCACCTCCGGATGTTCTTTTAGTCATTTTGTATAAATATGAAACCACAAATTGTTACTATAGGTTTAGTTTTTTTACAGTACAAATGTACACAGTACTGTTATATCTCAGTTTTATGTACTTTACCGTCTTGTATGTTTCACAAAACTACATTTCTTTCAAAAAGGAGCAATAGCCAACTTGCAAAACAGTACATGTGATACAGAACAGTACTGTAAATACTGTAGATACAGTCTGCAGTAGAGCATTGGAAACATGTAGGTCCTGAAGGACCTTGTCTGGACTCTCTGCTTCCCTCAGTTTGAGGCGGTGGTTTATCACAAGATCCACAAAAGTTGCTCTAATGTCATAAAAATATTGTGTTGTTTTAATCCTCTTAAACTCCTTGTCTTCCTCTGTCTTGCTCTTCCTGCCTTCAAACTTGCAAAGTTCTGAAAATGGCTAAACTGAAGCCTGTTTGTGTCTGTCTGATGTGTGTTGCATTTTGTAATTCAGTGTTTTCTGGTGTGTGTCTCAGTGTTTTTAGTCACACAATGTGTTTGGTAGAGGGCGACAGTAGCTCAGTTGGTAGAGCATTGGCCTTAAGCCCAGAAGGTCGTGGGTTCAATTCCCACCTCTGCACCTTCTCCACCGACTCCCACTGATGACTGCTGTCGTTGTGTCCTTGGGCAAGACACTTAACCCCACTTTGCCCAAAGCCCCCACTGAAAGATCAAGGCTATGCTCACACTCAGAGAGCAGCCGTCCTCCTGTGGACTCACCACCTGCAGAGGGTCAGTGAGGGGCTGGTGCTATGAGACTTGGGTGGCATCTCTGACTGCCACCCCCCTGACCCAGAAATGGATTAAAGGGTAGAAAATGGATGGATGGATGGATGGAATGTGTTTGGTATTTTGAATAGATGTGTTTTCCCTCCTGTGGACTCACCACCTGCAGAGGGTCAGTGAGGGGCTGGTGCTATGAGACTTGGGTGGCATCTCAGACTGCCACCCCCCTGACCCAGAAATGGATTAAAGGGCAGAAAATGGATGGATGGATGGATGTTTTCCCAACGATAACACAGGATTGCAAATATGCACAAAGTGTCTTATGTATGACACAGTGTGTAGTGAGCAGGAGAAAGTGTGTTGCAGAAAGAGAAAGTGTGTTGCAAAAGGAGAAAGTGTGTTGTAGAAATGAAAGTAGAGTGCAAAGCAGTACTTTTGTTTAAGGAATGGTCAGTCTGTGTTTTAGGTTTAGAACAAAAGCTTCAAGTTCTGCAACTTTGGTCTAAGCGTATGTCTATAGTGTTCAAGCAACAGGAAAAAACTGTAAGAGTTGGTTCTATCTTTTTCATCTTCATGTACATTAGTGTACATTACAAAGTAGAGCTGCTCCATTATAGAAATAAATAATAATGAACACTATTACCCAAACTTTGTCAAAGTCCTCAAATATAATTGAATTAGACTTGCTTTTTTGATTGAGTTCTCTAAATGTTTTGGGATTACCCTGCAACCCAGACTGTGTTGGTTGTAGCTTTGATCTTTTAAATATGCAGTACAAAAAAATAACAAAAAGAAATATATAATTTATATTGAGATTTTATATTATATATTGATATATTGATTTGTATTTTATTTTGATTCATTTGTTTGCCCGCTTATATGCTTTCCCCCCTCTAAATTACATTAGTTGTAATGCAGTAAATATTTTTGTTGAAAATAGGAAAGTCCAAAACTTAAACATAATATTAAGTATGTCATTGTTTAATGCGCAGTTTGGACTGTGTGTCACAATGCCTTGGCTGAATATTTAGTGGTGATGGCTGGATGGGGGCACCAGGTTTCTCTGGTTAAGGAGCTGAGATTGTGGCCTGGAGACATGTGCACTTCTCAACCTTTTACCATTTAGGGGTCTTGGACTGATATGAGTGTTAATGACCCTCAGGCCATGCGTGGCATGTTTGGGTTCTGCAGAATATATCCCAAGTCTAACCTATACAACAGAGCCAATTATAGCTGTGAAAGCCCAAATAAAACAATCCATCAGCAGGCCTTGACATTAAGCTTTATCAGCCACTTGCCCTTCGGGAAAGTACCATTTATATTTTACTTGCCCAATGTTACTTGCCAAAATATTTTTCAATGCAATGAGTTAACAAGAATTTTGCAATAATGTGAAGTGGCACTAACTGTGTGGAAAAAAATACTAAAAAAAACTCCAATCTCAACCCAATAAGTCAAATAAGGACTCACAGTATGCAACATAAAAAAAAAAAATTGCCTGTTCTGTGTTCAGTTTTATTTGTTCACAATACAGGAGAGACACGGGGGAGACACGGGGGAGACACGGGAGAGACACGGGAGAGACACGGGAGAGACACGGGAGAGACACGGGTGAGACACGGGTGAGACACGGGTGAGACACAGGTGAGACATGGGGGAAACATGGGAGAGATACGAGGGAGACAGGAGAGACACGGGAGGAGACAAAGGAGAGACACGGGGACACTCACACTTGCAACATGTTGGGGGTGGTCCTGAATGCGAGTCTCCACGCGTCTATGGTCCGTGATCAGTACCACGTTACGGATGTGCGTTCGCTGAGCTGTTGTCAAAGCGGCTGTCAGTACAAAGCACACACAGTTGCATATTCATCCTGTACAAAGTGCCAGCGGTCACACAGTTTCACAGAAATGACATTTTCAGCGGGAAAAAAGTCTGAAATCGCGGATCTGCAGAAATGTTTTATTAGGGGTGGGCGATATGGCCTAAAAATTCATATTGCGGTATGATTTGGTTAATTTCAATAGGTCTAGCAGGTTCTTGCATAAAATAGTCAAGATTGTTACTTATTTATATAATAGAATCAAATTTTTTTTTTTGAGTTTGAAAATCAGGTGTGTCCAGTCTCCACAAACAAAATACTTGGAAAGTATTTCATCCAATATTTAATACATTTTTAGCATATGATATTATTCCATATTAAAGAGACACCATGCTTTTGAAATGCAGATTGAACTGAAGACCCTGTGGTTAGTGGGTAGGGTTGCCAACGTGAGAACAGAAAAAATAAGGGACACCATTTGGGTGGATCGGGTTCAGCACTTTTTAGTCCTAATTTCAATCTACACAGGAATCATGGAATTTCCTAATCGGTTTTTAGAACATGATTTATTGACTACATAAAAAAAAAATAAAAAAAATCCTTAGTCAAAATGAAATTAAATAAACAGGTGGAACTCTTTGGCTGGTTAAGGACTTAATGCATGCTCATTAGTCATACAAAATATAAAAAAAGAGACAAATTCTGTAACAAACGTTATTTTACTGTAAAAAGCTATTTAAAAAAGAAAAACACATCCCCTAACCACCCCTAATAAACTCATCCAATCCCCTACACCCCCATAATTCCCCCCCCCCAATACCCCCCCTATATAACCCTTCCCAAAAAAACATCCCCCCCAACCTAATCCCACCCCAAATCACCCCCCCAAACAAAACTACCCCCCCCCCATCCTACCACCCCCCTACCCCCCCCTACATTATCCCCCCTATCCCCCCCCCCCCCCCCCCCCAAACTCTTCACCCACCACCCCTATATCCCCATAAATCATCAACACCCTCCACCCCCCCTACCCATCCCTATCCCTACCCCACCCAACCCTCAATACCCCCAAATACACCCCCACCAACCCCCCAAACCCCCCCACAACCACCACATTACAACCCCCTACCCTTCCCCCATACCCCCCCACCCACAATCATAAACACACTATCCCCCACACCCACTTAACCAAACCCCCACACAAATCCCCCCTAACAAATTAAACCCCCCCCAAACCCATCTTACACCACCCACATACCCCACACAATTACACAAATTACACACCAAACCACACCACCATCTCCCCACAATACACACACCCTTCCCCCACCCAAACCACACTTAACCAAAACACAATCAACACCCCCCCCAACATCCACTACCCAAACCCCCCCCCCCCCCCCCAAAACACAATCAACCCACCCCACCAAAAAACAACACCCCCCACCCAAAACCCCTAAATCAAAACCACCACCCCCCAACACAACTATCCCAAATTCCAAATTCCCCAACCCCCCCACCACCCTAACATCCTCATACTCCCTCTACCCATCCCTCCCAACCCACACCTCATAACCCCACCCCCCCCACCACCTATATATTTTACCCATTATTCCCAAACAATTCTTATTCCTATCTCAATACTCCTTCCAATCCTTTCCACCTATACCCAAATCTTCCATATCATCAACCCCCCCCTATATCCTATTCCCTTCCTTACCCACCCACACTAACTCCCAATCCCCCCCCCCCCCTACATCCCTCCCTTTCCCTTCCCCCCTTCCCCACACCCCCCCCCATCAAAATCCACACCACACCCACCCCACACCAACATTCCCAAAACCAACCCAAAACCAATTTAACCCCAACCATTAACAAACAAACAACTACCCCACCTTACACAACCATTCCCACCACCAAAACCAACACCACCCACCCCACATTCAAACAAATCCCCACCACACAAACACACATTACCCACAATAACACCCAATATTACACCAATTAAACCCCAATCATACCAACAAATTACTAGAACCCACACCTTACAAAACCCACCCCCTCATACACTATCCCAACACCCTCCAACCCCCCCCCCCCTCACCACATTCCCCCCATCCACTCACACACCACACAAAACTAAACAACATTATATTCATTTCCCCCTCTCCCTTCAATATCCCCACCAACCTATACAACCCCCCACACAAATCCAATCCAACCCCACCTCTCTCCTCTCCCCCCTACCCTCCCTTACCCTTACCTCTATAACCCACACATATCCCCCCCCTATAACCACTCACATCTCTCCTCACCACCCTAAAATCCCCCCCCCTTTTCCCCACCCAACACACCCTTCCCCCCCCCTTTCATCTCCTTTCCTCCCCCTCTCCTCTCTCTCTCTCCTCCTCTCTCTCCTATTTCTCCACCCTTTTCTCTCTCTCTCTCCCTATTTCTCCCCCTCATTCTCTCTCTCTCTCCCCTCTATCACCCCTCTCGATCCCCTCTCTCCCCCCCTATTTTCCCTCCTTCCTTCTCTCCCCCCCCCCTCTCTCTCCCCCCCCCTCTCTACTCCCTCTCCCACCTCTTCCCCCCCTCTCTTCTTCCCCCCTCCTTCCACCATCCCCCCACCAAACAATAACAATCAAAAAACCCCCCTTCACCTATAAACAAATTTTCCCCCCCTCCCCATTCTCTCCATATACATTCCCCCACTTCCCCATCTATCTCTCTAACTCTCTCTCTCTTAAACCCATCTCTCCTATCTCTCACCCCTCTCTCTTTCTCTAATCTCTCTTACCATTCATCACCCCCCTCTCCCCCTATATAAATCAATTCCATACCTAACCCATCCTACCCTCAACCATACCCCCTTATTCTCTTCCATACCCCCTCATTCTATACCCCACCCCCCCCCCCATTCATATCATTCCTCCTTTCCAACCCCAATTCAACCCCCCCACCCCACTACATCCCAATAACAAACCACCAATATATCAACTAAACCCCCCCCCCCAATATACCTCCCCATCCTTTAACCAACCTCCATAAACCCCTCTACAACTCCCAATCCAACCTAACTACATTAATTACCCACACAATCCCCCCCCCCATATCCCCCCCCACCCCTATACCCCCTTTTCCCACCCCAATTCCCCCCTTTCCAACCCCCCCTCCCAATTCCCCCCACCCCCATACCCTAACTCCCCCCTAAATACCCCTATCTTATTCACTCCCCCCTTCCCCTCTTTCCCACCCTCCTTTCAAATTACCTTAACCCCTTCCCTATTCCCCCACTCCTACTCTACTCAATCTACTCTACTTCTACTCTACTTTACTCTACTCTACTCATACTCTACTCTACTCTACTCTCCTCAATCTAAACATCTACTTTACTCTACTCAACTTACTTTACTCTACTTTACCCTAACCCTAACTTACTCTACTCTCCTCAACTTTACTTTACTATCCTCTCTACTCAACTTACTCTCTCATCTACTTTACTCTACTTTACCCTACCCAACTCTAACTCTACTCAACTCTATCTCTACTCTACTCTACTCTACTCTACTCTACTCTCCTCGACTCTACTCTACTTCCTTACTCAACACTCAACCCTCCTCTACTCTCTACTCTACTCTACTCTACTATAATCTACTTTACTATTCTACTCTACTCTACTTAATACTTTACCCTAACCCTACAATCATCTCATTACTCTACTCTCACCTCCCTACCAAACTCTACTTTTCTTTACACAACCCTTACATTCTCCCATACACCCACCTTACACCCCCCTACCCCCCTAAACCCCCACACCCCTTCCCCCACCAACCCCATCCCCACCCCCCCCCTTATACCCCCTTCCCCCCACATCCTTAACCTTCCCATTTCCCAATATACCCCCCTCTTACTCAACCCACCTTCACATTACTCATCTCTCCTTCTCTATTCCCCCCCCAATCCAACTCATTACCCATCTTTCCCATCCACCCTCACTTCCCCCTTACCACTAAATCTACTCTTCTTATCACAACCCCACCCTTCCCCCTCTTCCCCTCTATCCAAATCCTAACCATATACTCTTATCCCCACAACTAACTCAAACCCATACTCCAACCCCTATTAAAACCCCCTCCCTACCATCCCCCCCCCCCCCATCATACCCAATATCTATCACCCCTACACCAATCAAATAATAAAACCTAACACATTATCCCCAACAAACCCCCACTCCCCCAACCCCTCTACCTACCATATTCACCCTACACCCCCCTACACAACACCCCCATACCCTTCCAACCCCCACCCCCCCCAATATACAACAACATTCCAACATATACCCCTCAACTCTACAACCAACCCCCTCAAACAACAAAACACCCCACACATCAAACACAAACAACCACACAACTCAATAACCCAACAATAACAACACACACTATTTCCCCCACCTCCCCCCTACCATATACCCAAAATTCACCCCCCACCCTACACTCCTCCTCCACCCAACCTTTATTCCACCCCCCTCCCCCATCCCCTACCCAAATCACTCCATCCCATCACACCACCTTTCCCCCCCCCCCCACAAAACCAAAATCCCCACTTAACTACACTCCCCATACCAAACATCATCTCCCCCAAAACACACCCACACCCTCCCTATCTACCCCCCCCTCACCCTTCCTAACCCACAACATCCCTCCTCTCCACCCCCTCTTCACTTCTTCCCCCCTCCTTTCCCCCCAATCATTATACATATCCCTCAAATACACTCACCATACACTAAATACAAAACCTCTCCCCCCCCCCACCCACCCCCCTCTTACCACATCTCTTTCCCCCTACTAAAAACCCACCCTACCCCCCTAATTCTCATCTCTCTTACTCCCCTTCCTTCTTCCCAATATTCCCCCAATCATACCCCCATTAACTCACCACCCTAACCCCCCAACCCTCCCTCCTCATCTTTCCCCCCCATAAAACACACCCTTTCCCCCCCCCCCCCTCACCATCTTACCCCAAACTTCCCCCCTCCCCCCCCCCACCCTCAATCTTCCACAATCCAAATCTCCTATATTCAAC